ACACAATTGTTATTATCATTGATATCAATGGTTCTATAAGTTATATGATGTTTATTAGCGAAGTACTGGAATTAAAGCATCAAAATATACAACACTTTTTCATTGGATTACAGTATGTATTGGCTTTGAATAGCGATCACCAGATATACGGCTGGGGGTTATGTCAGACTCCCAATGGAGACACCTATAATAAACCGCACAAAATATTACTCAATAATGATATTGAATTGAAAATTGAAAAAATATCATGTATTTGGGAGACAGCTCTGGCTCTGACATCCGATGGACAGGTATTTCAATGGAAATATAATTTAATAGAAACACAAAACCCAATTAAAATACAATTTTTCGAAGTGAAAATTATGGACATTATGTGCTATAAAGACAACTCATTTGCCATTTTTCATGGACTCTTGTTTGCCTGGCAAATGACGAGAGACTGTGATATATACTTCACAAAAAATACACCTTACCCATACGGTACATCAAAACCTGTAAAAACGGCGGTCAGCATCATTAGACCAAAAACAATAGATTGTTTTCCAGATATAATTTTACTATCAAATGATGATCATTTATACAAACAGTTTGATAGTGATCCTGAGTTTTTGTTAAGCAATTTAGTGTTTACAGATGTGGTTCAAGTGAGACATAAAAACACTTTCATTTTTGTTGCAATTAGTGGTGAAAAAGTGTATGAATTTGTGGATGCATTTGTTGTTACAAAGTATGCAACATTTGATGAGTACTTCGCTAATAAACATCATATAACTTATAGAACCATTGATATCAATGATAATAACAATTGTGTTCAAACAATTAACACAACACCAACACATCAAGGTAAAATATATGAGACAACAAAATCATACAAATCCTAAACATTTGCCAATTAAGTATTTTTTAAATGAATTTTTTAATTAATAAATTTAAATGAATAAACTAATGGTAAATGTTTGAGTTTGTATTGATCATGCTTACCATCATTATCATATACAGTAATATTTATGGTATAAATTATATTAGAAATTCAAGACAGAGTAATGTACAAAACATTGGAAAATATAGGATCCGGTGGTTTTGGAGTTGTAAATAAAGTGGAGTATAAACAGACGGGCAAAATATATGCGCGTAAAGAATGCTTACTACTAAGTATTTATACAATTATAACATTTCTATAAAATTAATTAATTAAATGTAATGTTATATTAATTTATATAAAGATTTAGAAGAAGATCAAAATAGGAATGTATTGACTGAAACACAAAAATTGTTAAAATTGCGCTCAGAATATGTCATTCAATACTACTATTCGTGGATTCAATGCAACACTCTATACATTGTTATGGATTGTTTGGCCGGAAATTTAACACAACTTTTAATTAATAAGAAACAATTATTTGGTGAAATAATGACTGAATCTGAATATTATATATTATGTGATTTATTCAAACAATTGGCCGAAGGTTTGGAGTATTTGCATAAAAATCATATCATTCACAGAGACCTCAAACCCGATAATGTGTTGATTGACAACAAAACTAATAGATATATAAAGTTATGTGACTTCGGTTTGTCTAAACTCGTGGATGTATTGAATGATGAATACAAACAAAGTAGTGTTGAAAATACCGATATTTCCAAAAACAATGTTAATTATATGGCACCCGAAGCCCAGTCGGGAACTAATTATAACCATTTAGTAGATGTCTATAGTCTGGCACTCATTGGAGCGAAAATATTTGGTTTCGAGACCAGAGATATCAGAGACGGAGTGTATGTTATTATAGAAATATTTTATATAACATTTTAAAAATTATATTATTTAAAATTAAAATTTTAATTTATCAATTATATTTTCAGATCGAAATTTAAGTTTGAAAGTATTGATAACATTGAACTCCAGAATAAAATGGTTGAAATGTACAAATTATTGCTATCAATGAGTGTTAATAAATATACAGAGAATTGTGCGGAAAGTGAGGATATATGGAAACAAAGGCCCGAATGTGGAGTCATTTTAGAAACATTAAAGCATTTATCGGTTGAACCGATTGTTGAGAGAAACGATATACTATTTACTAATATATTTAACAGCGATTTCACACTATTTTTCAATTATTTTTGTGGTATTTGCCGTGGGATTAGTGTTATTTGCCAAACATGTGATGAAACTCATGGTAAATCAAATTTTACATATTTTTATAATTGACAATATACAATTAATTAAATATTTACTTATAATAGAAATGCATCCATTTAAGGAATACACGATTTCATGTTATTTATCTGATGATCAAAATGTATGCAAAGTGTCTCACAATATAGACAAAAGGGATTATTATATCAGCATATGTCCACTTCTATGTAAGTTTGTCATTATTATTACATTTATCATAAAGTAAAATATTGTTTACGTTTATATTATATTGGGTTAATTTGAGCATACGTTTTTATAAACAAGTTTTAATAATAATCTACGAGTACATTAATATAACATTGACAAACTTATATAACAAACTTATATGACATTGTATATCATTAACAATAAGTTATAAAGTAAACAATAAGTGTACAGTATATAAAGTTTATCAAATGTTTATAACAACGTATATACAATAATTGTACTGTACATATAGATATTTATTAAGTGTTTTTAAATAAATTTAATTTTATTGAAATTTACTAATATTAAAGTTTTATTTAATAGTTGATGGTGATGCGAGGGAAATTGCGAAAAGTATTATGTCGATATTTGCATCAAAACCTAAATATTTGCTTCAAATCTATAACTCTTGGATTGAAAACAATTCAATTTACATTCAAACGGAGTTTTGTTCGCAAACTCTATGGGATGTCATAAATGCAAAACACGTGATATTTGGGACACAAACCCATCACTCGTTGGCAATGCTTTCAATTGATTTCTTATTTTCAGTGCTATTATTAAGTAATTTCTTAAATTGTATTCTAGAATTGAGTTCTTTAAATATATATCCCGCATTCATTTCATTCGATACAAAACATATATTCATTACGAGTGATAATATATTGAGTGAACATTATATGAAATTATATTTATATTTCAATGAATGTAAAACTATTCCTGGCGCTAAATTACGTATAGAAGACAAAGTCTTTGGATACTCAATACTAATTGGAAAAATTGTCACCAAGTTGTTTGAAATACAACTAGAACACTTTAAGTATACAAATTTCAAATTCCTAAACTGGCATTTATTATAATAGCTTTTAATTTAATAGAAACAGTGATTACAAGTCATATATTATGGATGCTTTTAAAATAAATGTCGACGAAATGGATAAATTTATTAATGGATTAAACTACAAAATAACAAGAAATGAACGTTACATAATATGGGCCATGGAGGATTTCAAGAATGTTCATATTAAAGTTCTTGATATACATCCCGAATTATTAATAGAGATGAAAAAAGCCCTTCATTACTCCGTCACAACTCAACCACAATCATCTGAATGGGAATTAATTAATAATTATCTCGACCAAATAATTCAACATATAATTTGGTAATTAATTATTTTATAAATGACAAATATTTTACTTTATTATCAATTCATAATAGGATATTGAAGCAGGCGATTGAAACATCTAAACAAAATGATGCACATATTATTACTTCATCTGGGTAATACGAGAATGGCACAACTCGGTCACAACTCGACCACAATCATTTGAATACAAATTAATTAATAATTATATCGACCAATATTTTATTGCATTAACTTTTCTTAATAGGTCACAAATTGAGCAAATGATTGAACAAGTTATTGAAACACCTAAACAAATAAAAAATGATATAGATGGTATCACTTCACCTGGGTACCGGTCCCGCCGCATCGCTCGTAAACTACACTGTTGTCTACAATAAAGTGCATTCAATATTCTATACAGTGAACAGAACTGTTCCTGGTCATTTAATTCATGACATAACTGTTGGCAACATGTTGTGCTCCTATGTTAATGTCAGACTCTGGTGTTTACCAACTCCATCCATATTACTAAACAAGTGCACTCATTTATTAAAATTTAATTGATTATAAATATTTCTTAATAAGAAAATTATTGTAATATTATTTTATATTAAAATGTTAAACATAATTATCGCTATTCAATTTAATTGATGAAAAATAAATGTTTTTTAATGAAACAATGTGCATTATCATAAATTAATTCACTCAACGTCTATTTTTTAGTATTTGTTTTAAAGAGCAATATTAAAATAAAACTAAAATTTATAACATTTTTCATGCATTACATAAGCCATTGACTGTATATCTCAAGACTTGTACACCAGTTATACCATTACTAATGGTCCATTAGATAATTATTTTGTTAATCTTTTTATTCGTGTGTTTCTTAATACGGATTTCTGGAGAAAAACCAAATGAAAAACATTTATATCAATAATATATTAATTTAACTAATTATAACTCAAATATTTTTATAAAACTGGTATTAATTCAATTTACAATTGATTATTATTGACAATCAATTGTAGATTGAATTAATAATTTATTGGTTTTATAATTTTAAATTTAGTTTAAATTTAATTTTATTTATTTGTAATTAGGTTTTAATTATGAAATAATTATTACAATAAGTCCCGTGTGTTGTGTTTAAACATAGAGTTTTTGTAATGCATTTTATTTTACATTTAATTAACTTATAAATTGTTATTTGTTTAATAAGTGTTTAATTGATATAAATTAACTAAAAGTTTAGTTTTGAGTGTCATTTATAAACGTCTTTATAATTGTAATGAAACTAAACAAACAAAACATTTTAAACACTTTTAATTAAATATATATTTGTTATATTAATAGTAATAACTTATATTACAATAAAACTTTTAAACAAATGAATAATTAAGTCAAATTGTTTTACAAATGTATCATGTTTTATGACCACTAATTATAATATTAATTAATAATACTTTCAATACTTTTATTTATTCATTCAAAACATGATTTATTATCACAAAATTTGTGTTAAATTTTTTTCCAATTAATAAAACATAATTAAAAACACAATTAAATTAAGATTACAAATATTATTTATAAACTTTGTTTTTTGCCTTGACTAAAAAATTGTTATCATATTGAATTTTTATTAAATTATTATTCGGATGCTATTTTCTTTCATGATTTCTACCATTATGTAAATATAGCTATAAATTAATTACACGTTTTGAAAAAAAAACAAATCACAGAATATTCTGTGTTTATTTCTCAATGACTTATTCAATGCTTATTATTGTTTTTAATTTTATTTTTCTCGTTATTCTTATCCAAATGATAGCAAAACCAGGCGTTGAGACCAATAGTGAAACGATTAAATTCTGGCAAAATATAATTAATTATTAACTAGATATAAATTCTATTAACTATCTAGATTAATTTTTAATTCGTTTCCTGATCTATAAGATTTAACAAACAATACAATACTTACATAACACTACAAAATGTATGGACAGGTGTATAGGTATGAATGTATGACCACTACATGTGTGTATATCTACGACCAGATGAGTGTATTGGGCTTCTGGTGCCGTTGGGTTGTCTCGCATTGGATACGATTGGTGTTGAGGTCGACGAGGAATACCGATTCGGTGGCCGTCACCGCCAGGAGCCGAGACTTGGCCGCCAACGCCATACCCCTATGGGAACTATTAATGGCAAATATTAGTCACATATACATAAGTTATAATAATGAGCTAGATACTAAAATGACACATACCCGTTGGTGGGCCGCCCGATGCCGGTGATGAGCTCCACGCGGCCGTCGCTAAGGGACAGGTATAGCAGGTCCTCGCGGTTGGCCGTACCCGAGGCCAGTACGGCGTCATAGTTGCCATTTTTCCAGACAAACTCGCAGTTGACTATATTCAACGAGGTGCGCACATCGTACAAAAACTCCACACCCGCCTTGGTCACCCTCTGGACAATGATCGTGGTGGTGGTAGAGGTGGTGCTGGTCGGGTGACCAGTAGCTGCCGGTCCGGACTGATTGCGGAGCACATTGACCAGGAAGTGTTGATTGGGCGACAGGTATGCTCTCTGGGCCCTGACGTGCGGGTTATAGGCGACGAGAGCGTCGGTGATTTGGTCGACCACTAGTTGGCCGTTGAGCTGATGGGTGACCGGTGTCTGGCACTGGATGATGAGCAGGCCGTGGTCGGTGTGGACGCCGGTGATTGGCTGACAGTCGGCCAGGTTGATTGTTTTGACGTATTTGAATTGGGCCATGTCGATTTTGATGATGGCACGCTCGTCCCAGTGAGTCACGTGCGCGTACCTGGGTGAAAATAATAGTGTTTTGTTAGTATTGATGCTGTTTTAATATTGTTTTGTATATAGTTTATTTTTTATACTTAATTTATATTATGATTTATGTTAAGCTTGGAGAGAGAGAGAGAGAGAGAGAGAGAGAGAGAGAGTTGATTTACACGCCATTACTCTCTCGCTATAATTATAACGATCTCATATAACTATTGACTCGATGTATAATTTACCGTAAATAGTGTGATATTAATTAAATTTATGTGAAAAGTCGATATAAATTACACAATCAATAATAAATAGATGTATAAAGTTTGCGTTTAAATTATATAATCAATGAAATTGATTATAAATTATATGGAAAATGTGCATAAATTTACAATAATCAATACTCTTTCCCCTTTTTCACCACACCCTAGATTTATGTATGGGTCTTATAATATGCGATATAAATAATGGTGTTGGTTGTTTTAATTATTCAATTTATATATCATCAATATTAATTATTTTCCCCATCAATGAGTTTTAATACTTTCAACTTCTCTCTCTCTCTCTCTCTCTCTCTCTCTC